AAAAAAAAAAAAAAAAAAAAAATCCTGTCAGCAGTAAAGGAGGAAAAAAAAAAGCCAAGAAATGTTGTGAGGAAAACTTCCCTGGCTTTACAAACCACGAGTAGTCATTCTGAGAGGTCAATGGTCCTGTTAGGGGTAGTAGTAGTCATGCTGCAGTGGTGAATCCATGAAAGGTAGTAGAAAGGTTTGTACAGCTGTATCTGCATGGCTTTGCTGACTTATCTCATGCCTGACTTTTTAATAACCACTGTACAGTAGGGAGCTTTAAGAGTCTGTAATAGAGACTCCTCATGGCTGTATTTAGTCAGGCTGGTGTGACAGAGATTGAAATACGGTGAGTCCAAGGGTCAGAGTTTCTCCATCTCCTGGGTGAAGCCTAACAAACTAAGGAATCAACAGTGAGCAAAAACTTGTGTAAAGTCTTTATATCTATTGGGCCAAATGATGTGAGAATAAAATGGAGACCTGCATTGCAGAGGTGACACCATCTATCTACCCCAAACTGCAGAACAGGTAATGGGTTTGTGGCTCTCTTGCTAAAAGAGCAAGGGATTAATTTGCTCTGCAACTCTGACTGACAGCCTTCTTACCACTATATTCATTAGTTTGCCTGAAACACTTCTTACTGCTTTGCTCGTGAACTCCCACGCGTTCTGCAAGAGCATCTCCATCCTCATCCATAACTAGGAATGACTGAACTTTTAAAAAGGTTGGAAAACATTTAAAAGTTGGTTTCTTATCAAAGCTGTCTGTAACACTTGCCCTCTCCCTCCCCCCCCCCTGCACTGCACAGCTTTCCAGAACCTGCTGCAATAGCTGTTCCTATGCTCCTGCACTGGAGAGCAGAAACAGCCTGCTTCCTTCAGGGCAGAGGATGGGAGAGAAATAATTTACACCTTCCTCATCTAGGCTTAAGAAGCTATGCTGGGCTTCATTGACGGCGTCATTTGTAATGACCAGAGGACATGGAAGACGGAAGTGCTGCGTGCAATTTCTGCTTGCATTGCCCCAAATCTTGTGCGAATCTGTGAAACAGGGAAGATTGCTCCTTTACAAATTGCTTGCTATCCAGCTTGTATTTTTTAACTGACCTATTGTACAACACATCAAGGAGTAATGATACTTCATTGTAAATCACAGTATGTTTGCCAAAGGATTCTAGAGCAGTTAATAATAGATAATATCTCACAATTCAGGATTGGCTCAATACAGCAATTCTTATTCATGCATGCAGGCATGCCATGTCAAGCCCTTACGCACAGACAAATGTGCTAACAGAAGAGTCAATACTAAGAGCAAAGATATTAAGGAACACCAAGCAGATTCAAGGGATCCATATTTGCCATTGTTAACATATCCCACAATACACCAGAGTGTAGAAATACAGGCGCAAGGACAAAAGTGTAGGGTCAACGCTACCCAATTTATTGAGGTAAAAATAATTAGCAGGGTGTAGTTCTAAAAGGGCCAGATGCCAGGGGATTAGAAAGAAGGAATAGTGTCTCTGGATGACAGCTTTATTGTCCATCTCAAGGCCATGCATTGCAAATGTCAGTGCTATGGGGAAAATGGAATACCTCTAAAGAAAACAAGGGAGACTCCAGGATGTTACTGAGTGCTGCTGCTGGGCTGATAAAAGTAAAGGACAACTGAAGACCATGAAAAACATGAAGGGCAGCAAATACAGGCTCTAAGACCTAGCTCCCTGTCACTTTATACAGACCACTGCAGTAGATATCTGAGAACAAGAAATGCCTGTGATATCAGAAAGGGGGTTGCTATCTCATCAAGGGGTTTGGTTTGTTCACCCTGATCTGCGCCTTGGAGATTTGCGTGTGTGTGCGAGAGAGAGAGAGAGAGACTAGCTGCCAGTATTAGCTTGTGCTGCTTGTTTTGAGTGGAAGTTACTGCGTAGTTTGCACTTGATTAAATAAAAAGTGAGATGGAACCATAATTGCTGGTGAGAGTGGTTACTGACCCCTGGCATGTGAGAGTGGTGTCACTTTAACATCTTGCCCTGAGGCAGGGATACAAGGATCAGATTTTCTTATTGCTGCCTTCATGTCTCACTTTTTATAGCAGAAGGATGTGCCCCCTCTTCTTCAGCTTTGGATTTCTTTGTACTTAGGCTGCCCTTGGGGTGTATGCAGGAAGCAAAGGGCATCTGTTTATTATGTAGCCATTTGTCTTCGAAGTTTTCAAGAGCAAATTGGACAGGTGCTTGGCTGGGATGATCCTGCCTTGACCTTGTGAAGTCCCTTCCAGCCCTGCTTTCCTATGATCCTATACCTATGGGGGACTTAAGGGATCCCCCTTCATGGACCGGCCCTCTTGTGCTAGGTGCAGTATGAACACAGATCACCACCAAGGCAATGCCAGCTCTGCAGCATTTGTCTCCTCTCTGTCCTGAGGCTTTGATGGGTTTGTCTGTACCATGGCAATAGTGGGTCCTGGAGAAGATGAGGCTGAGTACAGCCTGCCTGAGTGCATTGCCATGCTCCACAGCTAAAGTGTACCTGCTCCAGGCATACTCTGGTACACACTTTCAATCCCTCTTCTCTAAGGCCTGCTGGAGACCACTGTCTGGGGACAAGCTTGGAGCAGCTTCACTGCAAGACTTAGAGGTGTGGAGCACAACAGCAAATTCAGGTGGGCAGGGAAAATTTAGCCCTGCCCTTGCTAAGCTGATGGCTTCTGGGTGACATAGTTGTCCCAAGAACCATCCCTAGGATCTACAAGGCAGGCAGCACATGCACTAGCCTCTGGCTGCTGATCTGCCCAACATGTCTGTATGGGGAGGAAAGTGAAGGAGGCCAGTCAGGCTCCTTGTCCTGCCCCTCAGCTTTGCAGAGAGCGCTTTCTCAAAGAGCAGGGTAAGGGCAGCCTGCTACTGAGCTGGGGCTCCTTGCTGGACAGCACTGGAAATTTTCAGTTCAAAATACCATTTTGGTTTATATCATTAGTAACTGATACTAAGAAACAGAGGTGTCAGTGCCCTGGTGGCTGCATCAGTAGCTGCACTGCCTCTGATGTAGTGGTGGTCAAGCTAGCAGCGCAACTAGTGTGATTTCCCC